AAGACGGACTGTCTCAACATGCCGAGTTGGAGGCGGCTGAACACATGTTTAAACACAGTTGATGCTATCAATGCTCATGAAATCCGTGACAAGTGTGGGCAGTTCTTTTCAGAGTATTGTGCAAGACCAGTCATGTACAGATCATACATTACGCATCATAGTCAATGATGTTTTTACTTGCTCAGCTGCTATATCCTTTTCAACTAATGTCACAGAATCAACGTCGGGACCCTGCTAGCCCCAGCAGGCTTTTAACACAGCAGTAGATTTCCAAAAAACATTTAGTTTTGTCTCATTGCAAATGCTGGCATCACAGACTGGAGAAACTGTGTTTGTTGAAAATTTTACTTTACTTCCAAGAAGGAAGTTGCAGCGGGCAGCGCAATGGCTGACTTTACTGCCCTAGAAGAGCTCACCCAGCTCAGCGGGCCCCATGGTATGTTTGGGCTTGAACCACCCTCAGCCCAAGAAGGTGTCAGCACTTTGTTCCTCCTTGTGGCACATCTGCAACACTTCCTGAGTGCACGGTCTCTGTGAAGCCTTGGTGGGATGGGGATCTCACTGTCTACTTCCTAAAAGAGGACCAGTACTGCCCCCTCCTGTGAGCAGTCCTGCAGCTTAGATGCCACCTTATCAGACCTACGCTCGTGGGCTCTCTGCAGCCAGCGGTCGCAAAGTCTTCATTCCAAAAAGCTAAAATCAAACAAAAAAAGCCCCAAAAGTATATGCACTTTTTATTTCAACTAGCACAAGATGTAGAGGTAGCACCGAGGTGTAAAAATAGCTGTTGCCTACACCCTGTGCTTCCTCATCCCTCTTGGCCATTCTTGAAGGCCAGTCAGACACTTCAGAGATGTTCAAGGTCACGTTCTGGCAGCAAGAAGCTTCTCTGCAAAACACAGGATTTTTCTCCTTCAGCTGTCTTTCCACTTCTGATCTGTTCTCTTTTATTCCCCTCTCTTTCACACAAGCACTAACACGTAAGTTCAAACATGCCAATGACGGATGTACTAAAATAGAGGTGAAGAGAACTCTGTAAGCACCTCCAGCTCCTCCTGTCAGCCTCGTCATGTCAGCCCTGAATTCCCCCGCCCCAGGCACAGCTACCTCCGACTCTGGCAACTGCTTTCCCCTGGGCCGTAGCCATGTATTTGCCCAGGGGTAAAATATTTGAATGGGTAATCATCCAAATGTAATGACCCTCTGTCATCAGCTTTGTGCCAGGTGCAAGAACGGTGCTTGCAATCTCTTGTAGGCTTCACTGCAATCTGGAAGCGAAAGGTGGCAAAGAAGCCAACCAAGCCCCACTTTCAACAAAACGCACCTCAAATCAAGCAGCATCCAGAAACTGTGCATGGAAGAGCTTGCCAAATGCTCACACATGTGATAATTTAGTCAACCAAAGAAGTATTTGGTGTCTTTTGATTTAGGTTCACTTTTATTACATAGGTATATTTTTTGTTGCATACCTGCAGCTCCTATTAGACAGTTTAAGTTAGTCAATAAGCATAAATTTTTGAAGGACAGGGAAGAAGGGGATCTTCCAGATTCTGGAAGAAAATTGCACTTTGGAGTGTAGTTCTGAAAATGAATGTGGCTGTTGATGCATTTTAGGCAGCCGAAATGTAATCTAAAGAACATTTGGAAGTTGCAGGTCTGAACAAAAGAAGGATGGGAGTGGCGTTATCACAGACAGAGAAAGGCTCAGGGCTATTTCAGAGGAAAGAGAAGAGGATCCATTTTGGCTAGATAGAAGTGCATTGAAAGGCATCCAAGAAGAGAACTGCCAGTTCTAGGCGGACAAGAGGAAGAAAAAACGATGGGCTTGAAATATAAAAGTAAAATCCTGAATCTTCGGTGTATCTGAAGGCAGATATAGGAATGAGATTTTAAGTGAAAAGGATAAAGGCCCAGAAGGAGTGAATAAGGTCAATAAGGAGCGAATGGCATGAAAACCAATTGAAAACCAGCTTGCAAGAAATCATAAAAGCTGGAACTAGAAGATGCTGGTCACAAGCATCAAGGTTTCACAAAGTATGAAGGCAAACAGAACGAACAGTGCCAAAAAACCAGAAAGACGTTGAGAGTGGAGAAATATGAAATACTAATAGTGCAAAGTAAAATAATTATAATTTCTGAGAAGGGCTATTATTTTTGTGGAGCTGTGTTCAGATACGCTGAAAAGATTTTTTCCAAATTCCACGAAAAATAATTAGCTTGGTTCTAAGGCTGTGTATAAAAAGGTAAGAATCAAATGACCTGAAAGGTAGAAAATGCCTGCCTCTGCAGGTATAACATGAACGGTGGCAATAGAAGGCATCGAATCGATGACCGTTCACCTGACAGTCAGCCTGATAAACATTTTGTTTTAAAGAAACCAAGTAGAGTTTCTTCTTATTCCCTACAGCAATACCCCCAACCACATCCACCACACAATGCGTATTTTTATTTAGTAATTGAGGGAGACACACATTGATTGTCAGTTTAAGAGAAATAAGGTCTAAACGAGTAAGAGTGAATTGCAAATGCTTTCTTCTCTGCTTTCGGGCATGGTGCCTTGCACAAAGGGCTGGATGGGGAGTCAAGCCCAATTTGGAATCCAACCCCACATCCTTTATGGATCTGAAACTTCTATGGGGCTGCGCAGGGTGCCGGAGTGAGCCCCGGCGAGGTTCACTCACGCAAGGAAGTGTTGAAAGAGCAGCCCTTGGCTTAACGACCTTTGTCAGCCAGCTCTTCTTCTGGCTTCCCTCGCATTACTGGGGAGATAGGGCTCTCGTCCTAGTGGGGTGCGATGGATGTTAATTAAATTACTGTTTGCACAGTGCTTCACATTCAAAGATCTACCCCAGTGAAAAAAAAAAAAATGTTGTGCAAGCACCAAAACAGGGATCCAACCTGTGCATGCAAAGATGGCCATTTGAAAACCACAACTCTTCGTGTGTGTCATCTGCCTTTTTGGCCTGACATTTAGGACACCCAGCAGGGGAACTTGCAGAGCAAACACCTTGAGAAGCTGCTGGCAGAGCTACCATGAGAGTTGCCCAGCAGCCGTCCCCCCTCAGCGGACAGCCGGGCAAACCAGCAGGCTCCAGCGTCCTTTCATGCTTCGCCTTGTGATATCCCGCACAAGTCACGCGTTGCGTGGGGTGAAACCAAGGACCGCGGTCTCAAATTGTCAGCTGCAATGCCATCTTGCTTCAGGTTTGCTCTTAAAAAGTTTTTTTCCAAGCCAAAAAGCTCACACAATGCATTCTAGAGATGAGGATGGAAATTCGCTACAGCAAATCATCTATGCATCAAAACCCCCTTTGCAGCTGAAAAGCCTGTCTTGCCCCAGTTGGAAATGCTCCGACCTCTCGCACAAATGGCAGCATTTTCGGCATATATATTTTGCATGATGAAACAGGAAATTGGGTAACATGATGATGCCAGACCTTCCGTGGCCATTTCAGGGAAAACGCCACAAAAATCCGGGTTGCTGGCCAGGAGGGGTTCTCCTGTGGGCAAGCCGCGGCGTAAAAAAATAAAAGGGAGAAAAATGGGGTTTGTTGTTGTTGTCGTCGTCGTAAAAAGGGTAAAAAATCAGTTTTTTGAAAAATAAAAATAAAATTAAAAAAAAAAGGACGCTGAACGTGCATGCGGCCGGGGGGTGCCGGGGAGTCCCCCCGGGGCCACGTGCGAGCGGGCGGCCAGGGGGAGGC